TACGCGTGGCGGCTGGCCTCCGGTGGTGCTCGAGGCACGGTCGCCGCCATCCGTTGCTGTCCAGCGGACCTCTCGGAGAGAGAGAGAGGGCTGCTGGCAGCGACGGATTGCGGCAACCGTGCAGGCGCGCGGCCTGCGGTGGCTGGCGGGCAGCTGGCGGCGCACGCGTGGCGGCTGCCCGCGGTGGTGCTCGAGGCACGGTCGCCGCCATTCGTTGCTGTCCAGCGGGCCTCTCGGAGAGAGAGGGCTGCTGGCAGCGACGGATTGCGGCAACCGTGCAGGCGCGCGGCCTGCGGTGGCTGTGGCGGGCAGCTGGAGGCTTACGCGTGGCGGCTGCCCGCGGTGGTGCTCGAGGCACGGTCGCCGCCATCCGTTGCTGTCTGGCGGGCTTCCTAAGGAGAGAGAGGGCTGCTGGCAGCGACGGATTGCGGCAACCGTGCAGGCGCGCGGCCTGCGGTGGCTGGCGGGCAGCTGGCAGCGCAAGCATGGTGGCGCACGTGTTGCGGCTGCCCCCGGTGGTGCTCGAGGCACGGTCGCCGCCATCCGTTGCCGTCCAGCGGGCCTCTCGGAGAGAGAGAGGGCTACTGGCAGCGACGGATTGCGGCAACCGTGCAGGCGCGCGGCCTGCGGTGGCTGGCGGGCAGCTGGCGGCGCACACGTGGCGGCTGCCCGCGGTGGTGCTCGAGGCACGGTCGCCGCCATCCGTTGCTGCCCAGCGGGCCTCTCGGAGAGAGAGAGGGCTGCTGGCAGCGACGGATTGCGGCAACCGTGCAGGCGCGCGGCCTGCGGTGGCTGGCGGGCAGCTGGCGGCTTACGCGTGGCGGCTGCCCGCGGTGGTGCTCGAGGCACGGTCGCAGCCATCCGTTGCTGTCCAGCGGGCCTCTCTGAGAGAGGGCTGCTGGCAGCGACGGATTGCGGCAACCGTGCAGGCGCGCGGCCTGCGGTGGCTGGCGGGCAGCTGGCGGCGCACGCGTGGCGGCTGCCCGCGGTGGTGCTCGAGGCGCGGTCGCCGCCATCCGTTGCTGTCCAGCGGGCCTCTCGGAGAGAGAGGGCTGCTGGCAGCGACGGATTGCGGCAACCGTGCAGGCGCGCGGCTTGCGGCGGCTTGCGGCGGCTGGCGGGCAGCTGGCGGCGCACGCGTGGCGGCTGCCCGCGGTGGTGCTCGAGGCACGGTCGCCGCCATCCGTTGCTGTCCAGCGGGCCTCTCGGAGAGAGAGGGCTGCTGGCAGCGACGGATTGCGGCAACCGTGCAGGCGCGCGGCCTGTGGTGGCTGGCGGGCAGCTGGCGGCGCACGCGTGGCGGCTGCCCGCGGTGGTGCTCGAGGCACGGTCGCCGCCATCCGTTACTGTCCAGCGGGCCTCTCGGAGAGAGAGGGCTGCTGGCAGCGACGGATTGCGGCAACCGTGCAGGCGCGAGGACTGCGTGGCTGGCGGGCAGCTGTCGGGCACGCGTGGCGGCTGCACGCGGTGGGTCGAGGCACGGTTGCCGCCATCCGTTGCTGTCAAGCGGGCCTTTCCGAGAGAGAGGGCGCTGGCAGCGACGGATTGCGCAACCGTGCAGGCGCCGCGGCTTGCGGTGGCTGGCGGGGAGTGGCGGAGCACGCGTGGCGGCCGCCACGCGGTGGTTGCTCGAGGGCGCGGTCGCCGCCACCGTTGCTGTCCAGCGGGCCTCTCGGAGGAGAGGGGTGCTGGCAGCGACGGATTGCGGCACACCGTGCAGCGCGCGCGGCTTGCTGGTGTGGTTGTGGCGGGCAGCTGCCCGCGGGTGGTTTACTCGAGGCACGGTGCCGCCCATGGTGCTGTCCAGCGGGCCTCTCTGAGAGAGGGCTGCTGGCAGCGACGGATTGCGGCAACCGTGCAGGCGCGCGGCCAGCGGTGGCTGGCGGGCAGCTGGCGGCGCACGCGTGGCGGCTGCCCGCTGTGGTGCTCGAGGCACGGTCGCCGCCATCCGTTGCTGTCCAGCGGGCCTCTCGGAGAGAGAGGGCTGCTGGCAGCGACGGATTGCGGCAACCGTGCAGGCGCGCGGCCAGCGGTGGCTGGCGGGCAGCTGGCGGCGCACGCGTGGCGGCTGCCCGCTGTGGTGCTCGAGGCACGGTCGCCGCCATCCGTTGCTGTCCAGCGGGCCTCTCGGAGAGAGAGGGCTGCTGCGCGACGGATTGCGCACACCGTGCAGGCGCGCGTCCTGCGGTGGCTGGCGGGCAGCTGGCGCGCACACGTGGCGGCTGACCCGGCGACCGTGTCTCGGGCACGGTCGCCGCATCCGTTGCTGTCCAGCGGGCCCTCTCGGAGAGAGAGGGCTGCTGGCACGACGGGATTGCGGCAACCGTGAAGGCGCGCGGCCTGCGGCGGCTGGCGGGCAGCTGGCGGCGCACGCGTGGCGGCTGCCCGCGGTGGTGCTCGAGGCACGGTCGCCGCCATCCGTTGCTGTCCAGCGGGCTTCCTAGGGAAAGAGAGGGCTGCTGGCAGCGACAGATGGCGGCAACCGTGCAGGCGCGCGGCCTGCGGTGGTTGGCGGGCAGCTGGCGGCGCAAGCGTGGTGGCGCACGCGTGGCGGCTGCCCGCGGTGGTGCTCGAGGCACGGTCGTCGCCATCCGTTGCTGTCCAGCGGGCCTCGCAGGGAGAGAGAGAGGGCTGCTGGCAGCGACGGATTGCGGCAACCGTGCAGGCGCGCGGCCTGCGGTGGCTGGCGGGCAGCTGGCGGCGCACGCGTGGCGGCTGCCTCTGGTGGTCCTCGAGGCACGGTCGCCGCCATCCGTTGCTGTCCAGCGGGCCTCTCGGAGAGAGAGGGCTGCTGGCAGCGACGGATTGCGGCAACCGTGCAGGCGCGCGGCTTGCGGTGGCTGGCGGGCAGCTGGCGGCGCACGCGTGGCGGCTGCCCGCGGTGGTGCTCGAGGCACGGTCGTCGCCATCCGTTGCTGTCCAGCGGGCCGCTCGGAGAGAGTGGGCTGCTGGCAGCGACGGATTGCGGCAACCGTGCAGGCGCGCGGCCTGCGGTGGCTGGCGGGCAGCTGGCGGCGCACACGTGGCGGCTGCCTCTGGTGGTGCTCGAGGCGCGGTCGCCGCCATCCGTTGCTGTCCAGCGGGCCTCTCGGAGAGAGGGAGGGCTGCTGGCAGCGACGGATTGCGGCAACCGTGCAGGCGCGCGGCCTGCGGTGGCTGGCGGGCAGCTGGCGGCGCACACGTGGCGGCTGTCCGCGGTGGTGCTCGAGGCACGGTCGCCGCCATCCGTTCCTGTCCAGCGGCCTCTCGGACGAGAGAGAGAGGGCTGCTTGCGCGACGGATTGCGGCAACCGTGCAGGCGCGCGGCCTGCGGTGGCTGGCGGGCAGCTGGCGGCGCACGCGTGGCGGCTGCCCGCGGTGGTGCTCGAGGCTCGGTCGCCGCCATCCGTTGCTGTCCAGCGGGCCACTCGGAGAGAGTGGGCTGCTGGCAGCGACGGATTGCGGCAACCGTGCAGGCGCGCGGCCTGCGGCGGCTGGCGGGCAGCTGGCGGCGCACGCGTGGCGGCTGCCCGC